AAGCTCTATGAGTTTCTTTATTTTAGATAATTGTTAAAGTCTCCCAGGGTTTTCAGCATCCATATATGACTTTATTTAAACATAGAGTGGCTCTACCAGTATTCTCTGTTCTGTGAACATCCCATATCTGAAAACATTCAGCATTGGATTAGATAATAATTCAGTATGTTATCATCTAAAAAGATTTTGCTTTTGCCCAGGGAAGAATTTGATAAACTTTACTGTGATTTAAAGCTGTAATGTAAGGTCATATTAGCTAGCCCAGTAAAACAAAACATTTTCAAAACTTTAATCAAGGCAATGCATTAAAATGTTTTGGGTTTTTTGGTTTGGTTGCTTTTTTTTTTTAAATAGTGTCTAAAAGATGCCACATTAAACTTGTTAGTGTAGTTTCCAGCAGACCTTTAAAACCTAGTTTGGATAGAAAAGCAGGCAACGTGGTATTCTATATTCAGCCTATTTGTAAACTCTGTATAGCTTCCAAACTATCCAGATACAACAGGATTTTCAGAAGTGGTCTTTTGCTTCAGTCTGTATAACAGATGTTTGGTTCAGCTGTTTAAAAGGAAAACATAAAAAGTCCAGATCACACTTACAAGTTGATAAAAGTTCATTAAAACATAAATGAAATTATTTTTCATAAATTGCCCAGTAGGGTTCAGAGAAAACAAGAAATATTTATAGCAGTTTAAGGATGTACAATTACAATGCCAAAATTTTATGCGACTTTGGCTTTAATTTATCAAGTTGCTTTTTTGGGGGAGAAAAGTTTGACAAGAGATTCCTGAAATTGTAGACAGACAGGTGAAGCAGTGTCCCAGTAGGGGCAAAGGATAAATCATTCCCCCCTGGCTGTGGGAAATCTGAGTTATTTCTCTCCTCTGCCTCAGGAAATTTAAACCAACTTTTCCTACATGCTATTTCATAGCTTAATTACTAGATTAGAGGGTACTTTAGAGTGATGCATGTGTATTATCTGTGGTTGATAGTATTTTATTTTAAGTAAACAAACATTTGCTAGTACTAATCTGAATTATAGCTTTCTTACCTCTTGAGTGAATGCTACAACTCCTACAAATAGTGTCAGTTTCTCACTGTCTTGCTTGCTTTCAGTGAAAATGGAAAAGAAAATAAGGAAAGAATCACAGGAAATACAATCATATGATTTTTTAAAAGTTTTTTACTTAAACATAGGTAAATAGATTTATTTTAACATAACAATTGTTTAGCAAAAATCATGTATTTAATAGGCAGTATTTGCTTATAAAATTTTGAATTTGGATCTTGGATAAGAACAGAAATAAATAGTAAGTTGTCAGGAATCCTATTTGCAAACCACCATATTTTGGTAGCTGTGATAATATTTCCTTTCCTTGAGGTCTGGTTTGTACAGCACACTATCCAACTAGAATTTCTTAAGCTTTTGGTGAAAACTACTCATCATTAAGGTATTTTCCACTGGACTTCAAAATTTAAATATGTGCTTTACCAAACCTAAGTAAACACCACTAAATTAAACAAATTCTCTATGCCAGCTGGAAATGCGATGCAAAGCTTTCATCACTTTTTTTCCCTTTAAATGGTTTTTACTATCCCTGCACCCTAAAATTGCATTAACAAAGTAGGTATTTTATCAAACTGCATTATGCACAGAGTTCTGTTGTTCTTTGCTTTTTTTCCTGTTTGTAACCAGCAAATCCCACTATTCAAACTGTTGTGCTAAGTTGTTTATGTCTCATGTTGGCATAATGACAATTAAACACATCACAGGCATGTACAAGCCAGAGCTTTGGAGTCTTGAAACAATAGTGGTCTTCTGACTGCCAAAGTCATCTTGCTCCCTAGAAACCTCACTTGCTAAGCTGTGATTTCAAGAGTGATTTAGTTTTTGAACTGTTACAAGCAGAAGAGTTGATCTGTTCACTAAAGAGAAAGAACAGCCACAAAATACATTTCTATTTAATAAAGAATTCTTTGTCTTTTTGTGTTTAAATGTTGGTTTACTTTCTGTGTTAAGTTACTACAATCCAGCATATAGGTAGACTGAATATGTCAGGAAAGGGCCCGGAAGGAAAACATTAATAGAAATGGCAATAACATGTAGCTGTTTAAATTATCAACATCTTTGTTGATTGTGGAAGAATGGCCATGTGGCTACCGTACATGGCTAGAGCCTAGGAAATTAAAATTCTCTTGCTTGTTCTTCACCTGACTTGTTACATATGACATAGTTACTGCTTTTTGCTGTTTGCCAGTTTTGCAAAATTGCGTTTCAATGTCGGTGAGATGCCAGAGGCTAAATTAACATGAAATATGTCTAATCTTTGATTAAAGATGGTAGAAAATGCAAAATTATAATGATTTTATTATCACAAAATCAGCTTAAAACATACAGACTATGAAGTTTCTGCAAATCAGTATTCCAATGTATTTCATTTTCTGTACATTTGAAGGCTTAACTCAGAGATATTGTTCTTTGTTGATCTGTGTATGAAGCCATAGCTTGGATGGATTAAAAAGGTGTGCATGTGAGAGAGGAGGAGAGAGAAAGTGTATAATGTGTATGTGTATTTGCTGAGTTTATGAAACACAGGAGACAAGAAGCAAAATAACAGTATGAGATCATTTTGGTAGAATGTGGTTTCTCTCCTAAGCTTTTTGTTTTGTTTCGCTTTATTTTACAGTTTGCCCAGCTGGTGTCTGTCTACAAAACTTTGGGTCCGGAGAAGTTCCCTTTAATTGAGCAAACGTTCTATCCAAATCACAAGGAAATGGTATGTGCAAATACCAATACTAAATTTACTTACTGTCTCTGTAAAAGAGAAACTGTAAACACACAATTCCTTTCCCCCATTTACCGTCTATTTTAAAAGCCATTTTGGAAGCTTTCAGAGGGATGAGACTGGATGACCACATGAAAGCATTGTGATGGTTAACTGGAAGTTTTTCAGAGGTGAAGGTAGTTATTTTTCAGCTAACCAACTTCAGATCTTAAAGAGGTTAAATGCTTATAAAGACACTGAACAACTATTAAAGTGCAAGAGTTACTTTTATGGTTTGTTTTCAGCCTAGTCCTTTATGATCTGTTCAAAGTGTTTATTATCTTTGTAGATGATGCACAAGACTATGTGCCTGTCAGTGTAGAACTTTGAACTCATCTAAAATCAGGGTGTTTATGACTTGTGATCTTCATGTACCCGAGCTGACATGAATTCCCAGTCCTTTACAGACATAAATGCATTTATAAAAATAACACTTACAACCTTTATTCATGACCTGTCTTATGCTGCAGCCATTTTTTTCTTACTTTTCTTATGGTTTCTAAATGGAAATTCTTTCCTGAGTATGTTTTTCTAGAGGAAATACTTTCAGCACTGAGAGAAACTGGAGGGAGGCTATTTGCTGATTGAATAGACTAGCAGAGAAGCATCAATTATTTTTAGCATATAATCCATTCAGCATATGTCACACAGCTGTGATTCAAGTACCATTGCAAGGTCATGATACATATGTATGTTAGCTGTTTATGTAAGGTCCCCAAGCTGTAATTGCTGCATGTCTGTCTTGAGACTCTGGCTAGCACTTCGTTATCGTAGGTGGCATCTAAGATAAGCCTCAGTGACAGCAGTTGACTACGATTACTTCTGAAGTCTTCTTTCTCCCACGTCTGTCTCATCTTTTGGTAATAAACACAGTATGGCGCAGTTCTGCTGTATTTTTTGATGTATTGCAAGAGTAGCAGGATGGCTCTTCATACTGCTTTCCCAGTTCCCTCTGGTTTCTTTGGACTATTAACTCACAGATGTTTCCACTTCTTTTGTTGCATGTGACACTTCTGAAAAGAGCTTTCACCACAGTTACATATTCAGTAAATTTGCTACACAGAAGTTTTGTGGAGCCAGAGGAGAATGGTACTGATCTGGAGCAGCATATCTAAGTATGTCCCAGTCAGTCAAATCTTTTCAGAATGGAAGGGGGTTTTGTTGATGGATTTGTCAGGAAAATATACAACTTTATAATTTTTTTTTTTTTTTTTAATGCAAAAGAAGTATTATGCCTTGGGGATTCATTCATAACAGGTGGAGAAGCAGAACCACATCTCATGTTTTGCAATATGCTTTTTTTAAATGGTAGTAAGTTTTGTATCTCCCTATTTTCTTGAAAATGGCCAAGATTAAAGCTGGTTTATAATTTCCTGTGCACAATTTATTGTTCTTCCTTCATTGTTTTATCAGCTATTATTCAGGCTCCACAGGGAAGTGGTCATAGCACCAAGCCTGTCAGAGTTCAAGGAGTGTCTGGAGATGATGCTCTTAGTCATACTAAGAGGTAGTCCTGTGAGGAGTAGGGAGTTGGACTCAATGATCCTTATGGGTCCCTTCCAACTCGAGATGTTCTGTGATCCTATGATTTTATTGAAAAAGCAGGCCTTTTTAATGCATTGCTAAATTGCAGTACATAGAAACAAAGAAAATATCCTATAATTTTGGGACAAGAATTAATGTGTTAGCTTTTAATTTTTATGTAGTATGACCCTGTAGAAGGTCTACCAGTTCAATTGCAAACTGCTGTCTTGAACAACTGATTGAATTCAAAATCAGTAATAGAACACAAACAAGAAAATGTGTGTATGTGTTTATAAGGCCTATCTTGCTTAAGAGTATAACAAGTATTTGAGTGGTTTATTTCCCCCTTCGTTCCTCTACATTGCTCATTAATGTCTGAACTGATAAGTTATTTGTCTTTTATTTGAACTTTTGAGTGTTAATGTTCTCCAAAGCTGAGTAATTTTTTACATATTTCTACATAATGAATGTTAATCTAGAGAAAACTAATGCATTTCAGTATTGCATTGCCATACATGGTTTAGAGGTGCTGTAATAACTGATTGTGATGAAGCTCTTTTTTTTTTTTTTTTTTCCTTCTGAAGAAATTATTTGGAACTTTGTGGCTTGAAGAATGATCAGGCAACATGGTACAAGATAACATTTTATTCAAATTTCTAGAATGGGTTGTAAAATGATCTGCATATCAGAGTTTCTAGTTGATGAATTGAAATCATATCATGCTATTTAAATTTTGTTGCTTTTTAAACACTGTTTATTAATAGCTAGCCTCATTTGCATTTACATTTACAGAATTTGGTATTTACAGTTTAAAATAATTTTTGGTAGTTCCTCTTGTCTTCGTTCTTTCCCTTCTAATTCTCCAAATCGTAACCTAGAGCTCTCTCCCTCCCCTCCAGTGCAAACCAGTTGGGGTTGGGGTGGGAGCAGGGGAAAACTCCAAATCTCTGTGAATTGAGTTTTCAGCTGAGCATGCCGGAGGTACGGTTGTGCTTCTGTTTCTTTTGCTTCTTTCGTACTATGGTGATCATTTGTACTGAGGCTTTAGACGGCAATAAAAGGTAAATAAACAAAGATGCCATTCTTTTGTGTAAAAATGGAGCTGCTTTAATGAAACACTTTTTGAAACAGAAACATTCATCTCGGACTGATTAAAACTATACAAAACGCTGGAAGGCTTTTTGAACTCATTGCTAGTTGAGTCATCCCTACAGCCTTTCCCTCAGTAATTAGTTCCCTTTATTTCACTACATTCCCACCTCCTATGTTCTCTGTCATGAAAAAAAACCCTGGCTTTTTCAACATAATTGTTGGACAATTTATTTAAAACTTAACTGGAACATTGAGAAAAAGCCAGCAATATTCAAGGTGGGTTTTCTTCCACTGTTCACCTATACAGTTTCCCTTCTCTGTTCTTTTCCCTACTCTTATCCTAAGTCATGAGAGTCATTTTCAAATTAAAATCAGTTGTTGTACCAGGCTATATTTCTGCTCTAACCTTTCATTTAACACATACACAGTTTCAAGAAGTAAAAATAAAATGTTGTAAAAATAATTTGCTGTGGATAATATATCAATGCCACTAGAGTAAAAATCCTGATAGGAAAATAACATTTGCAATGCCGCATTGTAGTTAATCCTCTTCATAATCTTTGAGTGCTGAATCTCAGGCAAAATAAAAACCTCATTCTGAGAGGGTTTTTTTAAAGCTTCTTGTGCCGTATTTATTGATATGAGAAAAAAAAAAATCTTTGTACCATCCATTGTGGGAAGTTTTGCCAGATTTATGCTCAGACAGAAATCAAACTGGATGTCAGGTAATTTTGAAACACCTCATATGGGATATTTTATGGCCCATCAAATATAAAATGTTTTTAAAACTAATTATAGCATACAATTCATATTACAGTTTGTTCATAAATATCCAAGAAAACATTTATTTTTACAAGGTACATAAAGAAGGCAATCTGAGATGGGCTAGTTGAGTTTAAGGTCTAATTACTATAAAACTAAAATAGAAACAGAACTATGTTGAGTTATAAAGCAGAAAATATCTGTTTGCTGCAGAGTGCTATTCAAAAGACACCATTACATCAAAATGGATTTGGAAACAAATGCTACACTGTACATGTATTGAATATTAATGTGCCATGTGCTTGATTCAGACTTTGTATGGTTATTAAGCTCTTGCAGGCTTGTCTAGGAGTTGTTTTGGTTTGACATGAGGAAATAAGGCCTGTTTTTTAAGTCTTTCTGTAAATTAGCAATATAAATGTACAGCACTGACAGTAAATAGCACTGTCAATGTTGTCTCTCCAATATCAATTCCTTTTTGGAAGAAATGTAGCCTTCTTATTTCATTTATGTGAGTAGCCATAGTAAGTTTATGGTCCAAGTTAGTGTTAGGTAATTTTTTGTTTGTCTTTAGCAAAGCAGAAAAGAAGCTAAGATTTACATTTGGCAGCACAAATATATGGTGGTTTAATTTAGGATTGTAAATTAAAACAGCAAAACTGATTTACAGTAAGTAAAAAGTGAAATGTTGACTATTAAGGGACATATATTCCTCAAAGGAATAATGGCATGCCTTCCTGCTGGCCTTGCACCATTTGCACTTCATTGGAGTTGTGTAAGCTTAGTCACAAAAAAAGTAAATAAGAATATTTATTCTCACGAGAGTTTTCAAAGCTGCCGTTGTCTATCCTTTAAATATGGATTCATGCAACTGTCAAAATAAACATTAGAAACATGAACAGAATATATCACAAACATCATTTGTACGGATTTTTTTGCAAGTATGCGTTATATATCCCATACAACATATCTTAGGGTGTGACAAGATACATGGGAGATGCTGAATTTCACATCCAAACAACTACTTCATTGAACTGAATGGAATTAGAGATGCCTATACACTTAAAGATGTGCGTATCTTCTTTGCAAGTTTAAGTCCCAATGATTTTATAAGGACTCTATAGCAGATAGGCTAACGGAACTATTTGGAAAGCTGGACCCTTGAACCAATAGACAATAACAGCTCTGTTTCTTAATAACCCCATAGGCTGGAAATGTCACACTATGGTTAGCAGGAAAAAAAAAAGAATGAGTAGTGTTTGTGTTAAACCTTTAAAGAGACCTGACCTAACCAAACAAGAACAGAACTGTCTAAATCTCTGCCTGTTGTTCTAAATTCTCATGTGAGGAATACATGAGAGTAATTTCTAACCAAAATTGAAATGAAGTGAAAGAAACCCAATGGATAAAATTGGAGAGAGTAAAATATATCAGAAATGGCAGCTATTACAGATTCATATCCTGGGTGACGGTTCTCATCCAGTTTCTAGAACACAAGCAGTTGGACAAGTCTAAACTTTGGCATTTACTGAAACAATTTCTTAAGTTTTACCACTGTGAATTGAATTACTTTAGTAAACTTAAATATGTGTGAGATTAGTTACTAACTACAGTAATCAATTCATAAAAGTTAAGACACTAAAAAACTAAAAGGCAAAATACATTTTAACACTTCTCTAGTATAAGTTCATGAGTTACCAAATTCATTACGACAGAGTACAATGGGTATTCATGAATGAAAAATCACTAATGTAAATTTAAACTATTAAATATGGTCAAATATTGGAGAGCTTTTCAAAATCACTTGCAGTGCAAGTTATTCAATATCTGTTGCATGTATTTTTACATGAGTTTCTAAAGCCAAGGCTTTTAACAGTGCTGAAATACAATGACCTAGTCACATGTCTAGAGAGGCATTATCAAGTACTACAGCTGCCATGATGATGGACATGGTTTCTGTAAATATAAGTAGTTTTAGCCTACCATTATTTGTGTTGGTTCCATAAAATGCTGAAGCATTAGAACATGTGGCTTTTCCTTCAACAAGGTATAGCCAGTCCATAGGAATATTGAATGGGTAAGTGGATTTTGATTATCAGTGAAAGTTACAACTCTGTAGATAAAGAAAGCTATGACATAAGTAACATACAGAATATGGAGCACAGATTGTTTTAATCACAGAAGTGTTCCACTTGTTTCAACAGATAAGGAAAACCAGGAATTTTTGAATCTTTTTTTTATATAGCACATTGTTATAATCATACTTTACATATACACTGTACAATAATTCTTTTGTATCAGAAGACTTTCATACAGAAAAAAATAGTTCTATAAAACATTCCGTAGTTCATCAGAAAGATTTGGAATAAAACATGGGGCTCTCTTAATCTGTGGGTTAACAGAAACAGGGGACAAAATTCTGGCAATTCTTTTGTTTTTGTACATTCATACTGATAAAAGGGAAACTTGTTATGTCTTAGAGGATACAGAGGAGCATTCTCAGCTTGAGCCTCTCTGTACAAAGCATAACTTTACAGAGTAGCTACCTCCAGGAGATTTGTTCCTCATCTTGCCTGAGTGCCAATTCCACAGACTCGGACTTTAGCTGTACAGGACAATTTGTTTTTGTTTCTAAGCAACAGATACATTAGACGATGGCAGTTCAAAGCTGTGAGCGTGCAATGTTTGGTGGAATTAGACTCCAAGGCTTTTCAGGAAGTGATCATTTTAAGGTTCGCTGATATCAATAAACTCTTTCTCTGGGGGAGGACCACCTCGGTACCAGCTGCAAGTGCCATCACTTCTCTTGATACAGGCATAATGCTTGGCTTGGTGTCCATATAGCTTTCTTTCTATCAGCCAGTCTGTCCAGAGGCACTCATTTGGTGCAGTGATTGAACAGGGCACCATGTAGCAGGTAGTAATCTAAATGTGAAATAGTACATTGATTCAGTATATTGCAGGTTTCCTTAAAATGGTATTTATTCTCAAATAATATAAAATATATGGTGTATAAGAGAACAGTTCCTATCAGTGAAAACTGCTAGTGCCTGTAAGGTGGGCTCCACCATTAGACAGTGTTTCGTTCTGTACTTACTTTGCAGCCACAGCCCATTTGATATCTCTGATTAAGACTCTTCTTTTGAGACAAGGATAAATCATCCCATGGTTCAATGTAGTTGCATAAATGGATGAGGACTTTACCATCACTTAAAATTTGGCCTACAGCATGGAAAAGAAGAAAAACAAGGCAAGCAAATAAAACTGTTTTCTAAATACTGAAATAAATTACAAGAATATCTGAAGTTTTTAATTGCACCAAATTAGTCATACTTCACACTTTTTTCAGTGAATGTAATTATAACTGAGAGGACTATTCTGCTGATTGCAAGCCAAATAAATGTTAAATCTTTAAGAAGGATATTTTCCAAAAGATGTTGGTAATCTGCCAACAAGGAATGGATGCAAATGCAGTAGTATGTTAAACTAGATTTCAGGACTCTATAGAAAAATCTCTAATTACGTAGAACCCCAAATCTGCATACATGTAGGCATGCGTTGTCTCATGAAACATGTTTGCATTCCTGGGAAAATCAGTACCATTGGTTTTAAACAAATAATAATGCCATACTTCCTATTTACTAATTGCATAGTTACTGACTTCGACTTCCTTTGAAACTGCTTTAAGATCTTCAGATGAAGGATGGAAAACATGTAAGATCACAGTATAATTACAGCTTTAGACAATTTGTACATTTCACTGTGTTTTTATTATTTAGATAGTACATAAACATTTTTTTAACAAGGGTTGGCATATTTTAGCAAAGTCAATCTAAGCGGTTACTTCTGGTTTTATAGACACATTAGTTTTGTTATATTTTACCTGTCAAAAGATACTGTTTTTTGTTGTTAGCTTCTAGTTTCACTCCACAGAGTGATGAATCAAAAGGGGTATAGACATACTGGACATCCTTGAGCTTTTCAAATCCTTTAAACATCTGAAAATTGTCAGAAACAGAAAGTCAGTAGTGGAAAACAAACATGAAAACACAGTTGCAAAAAACAGCTGAACGAAATATGTAGTGCATCTCTTCAAAAAAGGCTCTAAAGTCTGAACTTATATGAGAAAATACCAACAATTAGACCCATTCTCTACACTAAATAAAATGTGTCGATTATTTTTAGAAGGAAATTAGGTCTTCATTTTTTTAAATTGTAGGTTTTTAAATTTGCTTTTTCAGTGCTTTTAATGGATCTTTAAAGCTTTGTCTTCAATTTATATTCTACTAGATTCTTTCATTTAATGCAGAGACAGCATTCATCTCAAACAAGCTGCTGCAGCGTTGTAAGATGCAAAAAGTTCTCAACATATTAATATGGGAAATTTTATCTTGATCAGTGTAATGGTGTGTATCTTCAAGGACATGCAACATGCTAAGAAGCTGCGCACTGTTCTTATATTTTGTCGTTAAAGCAAGCTGCTTTTCCACATCCAGAATTTTGCCTAATGCAACCTTCTCAAATAACTGTTGGAAAATGGGATCCAGCTCTTAGAATTTATAGGCTGCAGCACCAAAATGGATAGGTTCGGGATCAAAGCCTATGCAGTGTTCAGATGGGCTGCTCCTTAACTAGCATTTCCAACTATGAAAATAATTCTTAAAGCAAGCCATTAAAAGATCAAAACAAATGTAGTTGTGTCCAAATGTGAGAAGGAACCATAAGATGCTAATCAACCTCAGAATGCCTGTCATCACCTAATATGACGTAACTGAAACCCCAACACTTCGGGGGCCCCGTTTAGTGACATCATGCTGTGTGTTGACAGCTGCGGACAATCGCAAGGCTCACGGCTCCCAAGGGCAGGCGCTCCCAGTTGCAGCTGGCGTCACTGGAAAATGTGTTCAACGTTACTCAAGTTCTCTCAGGAGATTTAAATAGTACAGCGCACTAGAAAAGACACTGTAATATGTTGATTTTTCTGAAGCCTTATTTGTGGAATAAAAAAAGCCAAAGTTCTTGTAATTGGGCTTCTGATCCAAAAATATTAGATGTGAATTTGAAATACTTAGTAGAAAAAACAAACACACCAAACCAAAACAAAACTAAAACCAGTATCCTGTACAAAGCAGCAGTGAAAACACTAGAAAATGTATATAGTGATGATGAAATTACGTCTACTTTTATTAGATAAAAGTGGTCTGGTGTGTCAGCCCAATATAAAAGTTTTCAGAAAGATGACCAAATGAGGAAGCAGGAGCAGGCTGCGCATGTGTTGCGGAGAATCTGCCTGATTGCTAACCCAGCACTTCAGTTGGAGCCCAGGCCTTCCTCACTCCTGTTAAGAGCCATTTGATTCCTGCCATCTTCGGAGCTTGAATCCCCTGCTTCTGCTACCATTAAATCTGCCTTATTCGGGGTGTGGGTACCAGACACAGACATCTAGTACATAGTAACTACGTGAGCTATGCAAGTATCCTGTGACTTGAGTCCTCTCCACAATCAGAAACCTTTGATTGGGCTACAATGTATAGTAGGGTACAACTTTTCTTTTAATACTTCATTGCTTGATCTAAATCCACTGAAGAGGCATTATGCAGACTACACAAATTGATTCAGCTATAAAAAAACCAGATAAATATGCATAGCAACTTATAATGGAGATCTAGTTAGTATTTAAATGAGTTTGGTGTTTGTTTTGTTGGGGGTTTTTTGGTTGGTTGGTTAGGGTTTTTTTGAAATTACAGCTCTGGCCTATCTGGTTTTGACCTAGGTGTTTGTTAAAGCATTTCTTAAGATTTTAATGTTTGGTTTAATTCAGTAAATCATATTTGATCTTCTCAATCGTATTCTTTCATCTCCTAAAAGTGTGGATACTTTCTCTGTAAAGGGATAAGATGACTTGATTAGATTCTGCATTGTGGTATGGTCCATTTACATTTGAGGTTCTGGTAGGACTTCATGAAGGTAGGAAAAAAGGGTGAGGGATTGGGAGAATAGAGAGTTGAGAGTCTGATACTAAAGTCTATATTGATATTGTTCCTGTCCTTCTGAGGTATATAACTGCGACCAGCACATGACTATTGCTTTAAGATTTTAGAATACCTTTTTTTAAGACTATCTGTATTACTTTCAGTGTCTCAGGCATGTTCCTGTTACAATAATTACATTCTTCTGTCTATTTTTTCTCTAAGCCTTTTCAACTATATCATGGCTTATTTTCTTAGCTTTATGCAGTGTCTAATACCTAGCTTTAAAACTGCATGTAGCTTGTATGGAAAATACATAGCAATTTTGCTTATGCTAGTTTAATTTGGTAAAATGTGTTGATTTCATGTATGACAGTAATATCTTGGGCCTTACTGTACTACTCTGATAATACAGGACAAAGTGTCAAGAAAGCTAATGGCACTGTTTTAATATTTAGGTGGCTCCTCAGAGTAAGTATGATAACCAAGTCAATAACAATAATGTTATGAAGACAAATATTCAATTGCATATAAATCACATATTTTCTTCTCTTTAGTATAATGCTGTAAACATTGCAATAAAAGAAAATAACAGTAATTGAAAGAATGTATGGTTTCTTAACGTGCCAACCCATGTATATAAAATGAATAAACCCCATCATTATTCTTTTGTGTATTCCTGAAAATGAATTAAAAAATCATATTTAATAGTTCTGTCCAAAAATACTAACATTTTAATGCTAAGCCTAATGCACTGGATTTAAAATAACAGAAATACAATTTTTGTGATACGAGGGACTGGTCTGTAAGCACTCAAGAGAAGGACTATAACAGTGAAAAGAATATTGTACCACTTGACATACACTGTTGATTTAGATTCTTTTAAATTTTATAATCTGAGGGAAAAGGCAAGAAATGGTGTTACCAAGTTATTGCTCTGGTCAACGAAGTTCATAGTTATTCAGGAAACTGAGATACACAAATGGGGTCACTGATCCACGAGGCTCACAGTTTGAAGATCTCCGAAAAGCTATTTCTGTGATGGTACTAGCCAGCCTGTGAATTGTCCCACTCCATTGAGGTGGCCAAATCTGGCCGATTGTATACAATGTTATATTATTTTAATTGATTATTTTATACTTACCAAATGTTTACAAGCATGAGCTATATAAAATTCCTCACTCTGTCTACTTTTGTAACTTGATGCGGACTTTACAGTGTTATCCATAACACTTTCTTATTAAACTTCTGTTAATTTAGAAGTGAGTATATCTCAGGAATTTTTCAGTATACCCAGTCCTGTTTCATTTTTACTCGTATGCTAACTGTCAATTATATGTTTAGAATATAACAGGTCCTGTACAATTTACCAGGCGCAGGCAAAGTTGCCTTTATGGATTTATTTCAGTGCCACACTGAATTTACTAGCAATCCCACAAAAGACTTGCAGTTTGCAGAAGATCCTGTTCGCTCGCCCCCTCTGTATTGCGGAGGTTTCAAACAAAAATCCTTTTATTGCGTTTGTTAGAGACACTGACCAGGGAGCTGGGTTCCAGTGCAGCTGAGCAGCCTGCGTGCCAGGGTGGGAGCCTCAGTTCCTACCTCTTCTTAACTCTCTTCTGGCCAGAAGTAAGAATTTGAAAGGTGGGACTATTATGACCCGTTTGTCTTTAGTCTAACTTGTATGTAATGATGTAGAGCATCTTTTATTAGAAAATAAATCTCTCTAGTTTGTCCAGTCCTAGCTGACTGGCCTTCTGAAGCTTCATGGAATTAAATAAAGATCTCTTACTGATGCCTGAGTTTTGAATAGGCCTCCATTTATGAAAATTTGGGAGAAACTCCAAAGCAGCTCCAATATATGAATGTATCTCAGAGGTTTTAGTGTGCCGTTACTGAAGAATGGGATTATAGACTGAAAATAGTAACACAGACTAGACTTGTCATTCTTTTTTGTGCAGTATACTTCATGATTTGCATTTCTAGAAGATAGGGTAGCAACAGAAAATTGAAGTGCTAATGGGAGGAAAGAGAATTGCTCCGGTATTTATATACTTATTTCTGTAAAGAAATGTTTGAAAATATCATTAGTAGTTTAAGAAGACAGAAAGTGGCAGATGGTGAAGAGTTTTGGGGTTTGTTTTAGCAAGGTAAAAAGAATTGGCTTGTTGAAATTGCTATAAAACCTTCACAGGACTGATGTGTGATAACCATGCTTATGAATATTTTGAGATATTCTTGTTTACCATAGATTTTTTGTAGTAAAACTCCTGTGGGGTGATCTACTGATACCATTTGAAGGACTGAATTTTTTTGAAAGCACGTAGCCATTCACCATGATCTACTGAAGTGTTCCCAGTAAATGTAATAATACAAATTAATACAAGTAATACAAAATAATATTCTCTGAATAATGAGAAATAAAACCACCTAGAAAACTTAAAACAACCAAACAAAACTACCAAATAAAAACAACCCCACCAACGCATGCTAATACATTTTAATTGAAAGAGACTACCTGTTTTTTGTGTGTTCCAGAAACAGGTAGATCATGATCTTATATTAACAGTGACAGTTTGATGGCGACTTGAATGGGATCAAGGTATGCCTTCTTAAAGTACTTTAGTGACTATGTCTCCTTACTGGAGCTGAACAAATAATGGAAAAATCCTGTGAGATTCTGAATGACTGTATTTTTGGGTGCTCCCACTTTGTGTTTGCTTTCCTAGCAACATTCATACAAATGGAATTTTGTTTATATGAATATCAGGAAAGGACTCCTGTTTCTGCAAATATCCCTATTCACTTATGAACAAAGGTCCTTGCTATTTCAGCTGGAAATGCTTTCCTCTGTTTTAAAGTTTGCATATTCCAGTCAGAGAGTTGCAATATCATAATGCAACATAGCTGATCAAGTACCCACCAGAAACAGCAAACATATTGAATACCATTCATAGATTGAAGTATGTTTTCATAGTCTTCATAAAGCAATTGTGAATAACAAAAATTGTCATCAAAATAAAATGTAGTAACTCACTCATGAATTTGAGAATTGCTTGCTTTTTTTTTTTTTTCCCTTTTTTTTTCATCCCTACTTTGATGTATTCTGTGTAGTTCACCTAGGTGTAACTGTGGAGGCAGCTGAAGCCTGTTCCAGCTTAAAGCATTTAGGGCTAAATTGTAGTCATATACATAGGTTATCGGCATTGAACTTCAAAATAGCTAAGTGATTCCATGTACCTTTATTTGTTTGATTTCATACCGGATCATTTTGTGGGTATCAAGAGGATCATCACTGGCAGGAACCACCTTTTCGCTGGATATTTTTGCTCGAATCACTGTAATAGAGAAAAAGATTTAAATGCAAATAAGTGTATACCTAATTTTACACGCAATAGCGAAAATTATATTGATAGATTTTAGCATTGTTTTTACACTTTAGCTAGAAGTAGATTTTAAGGCATGTTACTAAAAGAACACTAGATTGAGTTAACTCCTGAAAATAAAAATAAGTGGGCTGCCTATGACATAAATCTGAATTTCTATGAATCTGGAAACCTGAATTAAGTTATCACTCAGTTTTGACAAAAACTGTCCATCAAAATCTTTGAAAGACTGGAATCTCACAAAATTTTATAAAACACCCATCATTACAATCAGTGAGCAAAGGAAAGGGATACTTCTATTGATGACAGAAGAATTGTTGATCAATTAAATAGACTTGAAGTTATCACTCTGAAAGACTGTGCCAGACAAGATTGAAGCATTCATTTTATGGGTGAAATCAGAAGACAAGAAGAGAATAGTCTTCATTCATTTTTCTGACACTAGAGGTTTTAGCATTTTTCGTAACATAACACATAATTAGTTGTGTTAACTTGTATAAATTAATTACTCCCTCTTTTGACACATTTTGTTTAGTTCCTATTCTTTAAACAAGGGAAGTATGAGATTTTAATGAAAGAAGAAATGGTTTGGTTTCCCATCTGTTTGTTTTAGGCTTCTCTCTTGTATATACTGTTTGAAGTATACCAGGGCTATTAGGCATAGAGAATAACGGGATCCTAAGAATATGGTATATGGCCAAAATTCCTCTGGTGACTTCTACCCCCCAAAAGTATTTATAATCCTGTTTTTGCTCGGTTCTGGATGGCCGCTATTGCAACTCGTCTGCAGATGTAGTACTTGTTAGAACAAACAATCTGTATCTGCATGGAGAGATAGTGGCAAAGGCCAGAGCAATCAACAGTTGAACCCCACTTCAACTCTATGTTCAATTTGCAATTGGGCAGAGATGGATCTGTGCAAGGACATCTGCTTTTTTCATGGGAATGGCCAGATTTGCTGTCTGTGTCACAGGTATGCTGCTTGATGCAGGTATGATAGAGACCAGAAAGTATTCTTCAGCATGAAGGCAACTCTCAGACACCTTCTTTTTTGTTTTGTTTTTATTTTTCATGATGAAAGGAACCTTTCTATCAAAATTAGTATGAAACAGGCATGATGTTTCATAGAATAAGTTAGGTTGGAAGAAGCCTCCGGAGGTCTAGTCCAACCCCTTGCTCAACTTGAATCAGGATGCTCAGGGCTGTGTCTGACTGAGTTTTGAGTATCTCTGAGGATGGAGATTTTGCAGCCTCCCTCAGCCCCTGTTTCAGGGTTTGACTACTCTTACAGTGAAATCCTCATACTTCCTGTTCACTGAAAAAAAATCAGGCTGATGCAGAGGAGAATCTTTTGGCATCAAAATCATGCTTTTCCCCCAAAAAATGTTTATTTGATAAATTGACCTCTAACAGTCATATCTAAAGAAAAGGAATAAGAAATCCAGATTGTGGTTTTCCTTACAGCCAAATAGAGGTCAGTCCCATCTAATAATGGGCAATTCTCATTTCCTCACTTATTAGCAGAGCAAGCTAGATGTAATAATCAACATGATGCAGATGCCTACAGCTTCAAAGCTTGAGTCCTCCATCTTTTGGCACAATGTTCCTTCCTCCCATGCCATTGAAACTCTTTTAAAGGAGCATTTTAGACTTATGGGTTGTATTGGAAGGGAAGAGTCCTTTTAAGTATGAACAACAAATTCCTCATTTCAAGTAGTAAGTGGCAGCATCTCTTTAATCATCTGCAGATGTGTTATGTTGCCACAAATTAACAGTACTTCTTAAGTGCTTTGATCTAATTCCAGATAAAAAGTGTTGTGGATTGTGTGTATTATACTGCTGGAAAGGTCAAATTAGAATCATGTTGTTTTGTTTTGCGTTGCTTTCCATTGCATCATTATTTCCAAAAAAAAGGTTTTCTCATTAAAGAATTTGTTCAATATAGAAGATAAGGGGTGGGACAACAGTTAGGAGCTAGCTCCATTATTTTCTTAAAACCGTAACATGGTTTATATGCAGGAAATCTTTTCCTGCCTACTCAATGCAAACAATTGTAGGATAATTAAAGCTACTTTCCCCCTTGTGTTTAATGTCGAAACATTACTTATTTTCATATTTTTATTAACATCTTCTTGTTAGCATCTGAGGAACATTACAGATGATCAATGATAGCTCAAAGGGTCTCCATGGAGTCATGTAAGGCTGAAAATACAACATTCTGGGGTTTGTCATTAAGAGATCTTTTTCTGTGTGTGTAGAAGAAAATGAAAACCATTTTATGTTGTGTGTGTTTGTTTAAGAGAAAGTTTCCAGATGGTGAAGGAAGACCAAACTGAGATTTTTTTTTTTTTTTAATGACAAAGTTTTATTGTTACAGCATGTCTAAATCTTTAGTCATTGGGGTTTTACCTTTCTATTCTCCTGAAACCAGATTCAAATGCACAAAGATCTTTTGGGGCCTTTTAATCCTTCTTGGTTTTCTTTTTTCTGTGCTTTAATATTTTTTTTCAATCAGTGTCGTCTAGCTGTCTCCTAAAACCTCTTATTCATGTGGTTGCTTCTGTTTTTAACCACAAGCACTTCCTGATTTAGCATTCCTGGGCCTAGCCATCTCCCTCTCTTCACTCGTGGTTCAGAGGGTGATTATAACTTAGGATTCCTCCTAGTCTGCACTTCTTTTCAAGAAATGGTTTCAAGTATACCATGACTGGCTTGGCTCCTCCTCTGTTTGGCTGAGAACAACCTCTGCTTGTTTAGTGTAATAATGTCATTTTATCTGTCAGACAGTTATTGGTTCCTTTTGAGGAATTTGCATATATGAAATACATATGCATAGCCTTCATATTCTAATGCCAATAATTCAGTCTGCCTCAAATTCGTTCTACGTTAGAATTCATAATGTTTTTCAAAAGACATTCTCTATAATATTTCAATAGTAGGATGTAATATTTCTGTGGAACTCGTATTTTGTAACTCATGGTACTTTTATAAAATTTAAACTTTTATCTCCGCTTCGTAGCTGAAGGTTGTCTCGGGTAACTGAACTGAAAGGAAGTTAATGTGATCAAAGCCATGCAGGGGGTCAGGTAGAGCCTCAGAATAGAAATCATACTGGTAGTTATTGGCTCCCACAATTATGCTGAGTCCATAGCGTCGAGTTCCCACTTCTCTGAGCAATTGCTGCTCTCATTACTAGTGTCATAGCATATTGCAGTTATAGCAGAACAATGTTCTGTTCAGTAAATCAGCCTGGCTATTGGACATTCATTATTAGAAATGTATTAAGAATATTTTGATTCCTTCTTTCCTGAATAATAATAAACAACTCCCAACCATGTCTGAACCAAAAAAAGTTAATTTTGAACTGGGTAAAGGACAGAACTTACTTAGTATAACATCAGATATATTTGTGTTTATGCAGTGAGGAGAAGAGTGTTGGGTTTTATACAATAAAAAAGTGTTTGTATACAATAAGAGTAGAAAGTTAGGCATTACCTGCATCTTTCCCAAACCTGTGTGGTTTCTCTCGGAAATCCACTACAGTAATTATTTACCTGTAAATAAACTGTACCATTACCTTGTGTAGGAGAGATTTTTATTATCATGAACAACTACTTACACTAGGGGCTTTTTTAAAAGAAATTTACTGCCTTTATATTAATTTTACCACACTACAGTGGTAAATGAATAAATGCAATGAAAATGCAATGAAATGACCATCTCTTTTACAGAAGAGGAGACACAAAGAATTGAGCAATATACTGAAGGCCCCACACCAAGTCATAGATATAGATGGAATCAGAATAAAGTAAATCCTTGCGCTTCGTTCACTGAAATTCATATGTTCCCTAAAAGTAGTATCTCTTTAGACTCTGAGTTATTTCCAAGGCATTAACAAAGGGAAAATTGTTTAGTGAAGAATTACTCTCATTGTTACAAGTTAGTATTATTAAATAATATATTCTTTATGATACTATTTTATATAGTATTATTGTACTTATACAAGTTTTAAGATGATGATATTTAGCCTTTTTCCTTAACCTATTGGTCACAGTACTATTGTTTGAAGACAGGCAACTTCACTCCACAAAAGTAATCAACTTTATTACTCCTTCAAAAAGGAAAACAAAATGGAGTTTACTCTCCAGATTAAGTTTATTATCCTAAGAAATAGGAGGTAGGAGAGAAGGCAGAAACAGATGAATAAATGAGAACTTTTTTCCCCAGAATGTGTTAAATATCAGCAACTATGTAATGAAAAATATTTACATAGGAGATATTACTGGACATAAGAACAAGAAATCGTAATTGCTTATGTGCATTCTTATTTTAAATATATCAGCCTAAAAATAAATAAAATATAAGTAAAAATAAAAATACTGGTAAGAAGAGCATAGATTTTAAAGATAGATAGGGAGGCAGACACTTAGAGCTTTGAAAATCTGTTTTGTCATCTGTTTGGACTCTAAAAAGCTACATCCTGAACAAAGCTGTCAAGTGCGTTAAGATCACAGTGCTATGAGAAATACAGACTACTGTTAAACTGTTGTTTTACTGAAGTTGGGTTTAGTTCAGTATTTTTGATTCTGGGGTATGATTTCTATCAGAAGAAAAATATTTCACTCTTTTCTAGAATTAAAAGTTACAGATTATTATCATGACGGATGCATCCAGTTTGAAATACTAGCTGCACTGGAGTTTTCATTGTATCAATGATAAACTGGTGTAATACCTACAGTTCTTAACTGAATATATTTTTGCTTAGGGAGTTGCAGCTTAAAGCAGAACTCCGTAGTTAATGAGCTCCAGTCCTTCAGCAATAGGTAGGTTAATGAATAGAAGGGCAAGGTTGTCTAGACTAGGATGCCTTAGCTGCTTTTTGTAAAAATAAGGGCTAAATCCTGTCCCTTAGCCTTACAGTAGATTCTGAGATCCATGAACAAAGAAGTGCG